TTCGGGTTTGGGCCATCCCCAGCCACTGTCCAGGTAAGGGTCAGAGATGTTGCAAAGGACCAAAAGGACCAAAGAGGGGGGCAAAGAGACCTTTCCAGAGCTGCTCAGAAGAGCGGGATGCCCGTGTCCTGCTTTGGCACAGTGTGGGACCCCTCCAGGCACAGAAGCTGGGTGGTCTCAACCCATCTCAGTCCAGGCTCTGCAGCCCCTTGGGGTTTTGGGGCTCTTTATGCTGGTTTCACCCCCAGCTCTGCCAGCGCAGATCACATCCAGGCTTCTTGGAAGTGACTTAGCCCAGCTGGGAAGAGCCAGGACCCTCCCTCTGCGTGCTGCGGTCCGGGCAGGGCGCAGCCCTGGGCTGCGGCAGCTGAGCACTATTCATTAAATCTGATTTAAAAGTCCACGTCGAATACAAATCATATTAAACATTTCATCTCCATGGGGGGAAACAAATGCTGCTTTCTTGGCGGGGGTGAGAGCTGGGCTGTGGGCAGCTGCTTTTCTTGCTGCCAGCTGGCATCTCTAGGCATGTCCCCCCCTTCGTGCTGCCCGCCCAGCGCCCACCAGTTCACCCATCACCAGACTCTGCCTGTCGCATCTCAGCGGCCGCATCAAAGGGGCTCTTCCCAGCAGCGTTTTGAGGTCCTGGCTGTGGGGCTGCCACCTCCCCGTCTGCCCAGCAGCCGGGTTCCCAGGCTGGCCGACCGTGGGGCTTTGTGTGGGATGGAGCCCACCCAGCAGGACCCTGGGAGAGCTATTCCATGCTTGAGGCATCGCAGCCAAGCGTGGCTCCGTGGGAAATCTCTTGCTGGTGCTTTGGGGAGCGGTGCCCCAAGCTGCCAAGAGGGGCTTGCCCTTTTGTTCCTCCCCGCAGGCGATGACGGGACCTCTGCAGACTGAAGAGGAAGAGGAGGCTGTGGTGTTCCACCATCACTACATCCCCTACCCTGGTCCCTCTCCCATCCTGGCGTGGCCAGTCCCGATGCGGGATCGGGGACTGGGGGCTGTGCGGTACCTGGGGACAGGCTCGTTAGCTGGGGATGGGGAGCTGTGAGTAATTTCACTGAAATTTCACTGAATTTCTAGAGTTGGAAGGGACCATAGAGATCATCTAATCCAACTCCCCTGCTGAAGCAGGATTGCCCAGAGCTTGTCAGAGCATGTTACTCAGGAGCATCCAGGCAGGTTTTGAAAATCTCCAAAGAAGGGGACTCCACACCCTCCCTGGGCAGCCTCTTCCAGGGCTCTGCCACCCTCACCGTGAAGAAGTTTCTCCTCATATTTGAGTGGAACCTCTTATGTCCCAACTTGTTGCCCCTCGTCCTCTCAGTGGGAACCACTGAAAAGAGTCTGGCTCCCTCCTCCTTCAACCCTCCCTTGAGATACTTGTAGGCATTGATAAGGTCTCCCCTCAGCCTTCTCTTCTCCAGACTAAAGAGTCCCAGCTCTCTCAGTCTCTCCTCATAAGGGAGATGCTCCAATCCTTGAATCATCTTTGTAGCCCTACGCTGGACTCTTTCTAGTAGTTCCCTGTCCCTCTTGAACTGGGGAGCCCAGAACTGGAGGGTGCTGTGGGGCTGTGTGATTGTCCCTGTGGTCCCTGGTGTACCAGGACCTTCCAGCCCAAGCTGGGACACAAGGGGCAATGCCAGGCTGGCACTTATTCCTCCCCTTGCTCCTCTCCAGCCCTGCGGTGCCACCACCTCCACCCCCCAGCGCCACGGGGACCGTTGGAGCCAACATCCCACCAGCATCAGGTAAGGAGATGTTCTCCCCTTGTCCCTCAACGAGAGACATCTTGCCCTCAAACATGCATCAACCGAGCAGCTCCTGGTCAAAGGCTGAGCCCTCCCCGCTCCCTCCATCCATGGGGTCCTGGGGGTGGCCATTGCACATCCTCCAGCTCCCCGTTTCTCCCCACAGAGTACTACGACGTGGTGCAGGAGAGGCTGTGAGCTCCACGTTTCCCGAGGTGGTATCTCCTCCACGTCCCAGCGCTTGACCCCAGAAGATCTTCCAGGTGCTGGGGTGCTCCATGATACCCCTACTTTTGGGGTGGCTCGTGGGGGAGGAAGCCA